TAGTTAGACCTTAGTACCACGAATTGTGTACTCCATATTACACAATGCTTTAAAAGCAGTGAATCGAACCGATTCGTGTTCTGATATCTTTAGATGTAAGTAAGTGATGTAAATGAGATCAAAATTTATAAGGCCTGAGACAGGATAATGATTAAACTGAAGATGATATCATAGACATAAAGACCAAGATGGTTTAGCCTTAAGCTTGTTTGCACTTTCCCTTAGCTGTATAATATTGATTTGATCTCAATTTTTAAACCTGGTCGGAGCGACAGGAAGATTTTGTAGAACATATCTGGTTCCGCGTTCTTTGCCATTGTATTCATGATAATTTCCAACACCAGTCCGTTGACTTTATACATTCCCAGACGTTTTGACGGCAGTCATTGAGATGCGCTATCCTTAGCACATAATTCAAGCATATCAAAGGGGAAAAAATCCACGTAAGGTATTTTGTCGCTCCGATCAAGTTGCGGAAACGAAATCAGACTGATAGTAAGACGATATCGTCTGTACAAGGAAACGGGCCCTTCAGAGTAAATTAAATTATTTTATATATGCACTCATCTTACCTGGAATTAAAAGTGTATACCAAATTAAATTATATTCCATCATGGCTAATCGCTAAGGCTAAGAATATTTTCGAATAAGCATTGAAGATACGATGAAATATGAACATGTAGGCCCAAATTTCATTGTGACTAATAAATTATAAATATGTATCATACTTTTCTTGCCAAAAATGATAGATATTATATAAATAAATGGGAATATCATGAATAAACATAAATATACAAAGTTTTAGGTTCATAATAATAATTTAGTCAAACCCATAGCAACCGTAAGAAAAAATTAAAATAGGAAACTAATGGGCCAACTTTTTAATATTTTGTACAAATTAAGACATTTTTACTTTGAAAAATTAATTAAGGACCTAATTAATTGATTTTTATTGAGAAATAAATTCAAGTTTTTGTTCAAATAATTAAAAATCATGATAATACGGCCATCTCCGATTTCGTGTTAATCATTTTATATAATACAAGCTAAGTTTTGGAAAGGAATGGCTCTTTAAAATGCGTTTATATCTTTTATATTAGAACAATGAAAAGATGTTAACAATAGTCTTATTACGTACAGGATGATGCTGAATCCCGGTATATGTAGGAGATCCTATAGAAATAAGAGAGTTAGCGTGTCCAGCAGCAGATGACGTGCGACGAACAAGGCCGGGATGCAAGCATTGAGAAACGAAATTGACAACGTGTGCATCCCAATCAATTGCAGATCCGGAGTAGGATTCAGAACCTTCTCTTAAACCATTAGTAGCAATATCATTAGGCACCAAAGGGGTAAATGGCAATGAAAAAGTAGGACGACTTGCAGGCCGATGCAGACGGACCGTCCCCATATTTGATTCAGGACGGGACATTATCTATGAACGAAAACAAAGTAGAAGTCGTGACTACAATACTAAAATAAGACAAGCATTATGTTTAAAGTTTGTTGCTGATCCTTAATTTTATTATTATTATAGTTAATTATATTAGCATAAATGATAAAACTTGACTAACGCTATGGCAAATATAATCAAATTAATTTTCCTTTTATAATTAGGCTTACGAGATTTCAACCACCAGTCCTATTAGCGCCTTAAGCAAGATAGGGCGAATAGACAATCTATTTAATCAAATAAAGTAGTTCATCCTTAATTTCTCTATGTGCATATGATTGCATAATAACACTTTCTCTTTTCAAAATAACATATCTATGGAAGTAAAATATAAGTAAAGCGACTTAGAT